CGTACCTCCACCGTTGAAGATTTCGGTCTTAACTAAGATTGTGATCTTAAATCCAAGCTGTCTTACAATCGGACTGATTTTGGTTTGTGCAAGTGGAAGTTTGTTTTTCAAATTGACGTATTCAGAGCAGCTTTTGCCAAGGCACCGGCTTTACAGTTGCCACTGATGCCTACGTGATTGGGCAGCCAATAACCATAGCATGAGTTTCTCTCGTAAAATTCAAATGGAAAACTGATAGTCACAGCTGCTGGGGATACCTACTCACTACCTTTGATCCATCTATGTTGTTACTGAAATGAGTGGGATATAGGTCCTTCAGTTCACACAATTCTTGTTGATAAAATAATTGATAAGTTACTTCTTTATTTTTGCCAATTCTAAATTAACATCTGGTTGTACTGATTATCATGGAGGCCATGGAGGCATTGCTGTTGTTTTGTATTCTGCAATAGCAAAATGATTACATTTTATCTTTGATGTGAGATTGTATGCAAATGCCAAGTGGTGGAATTGAATTTTGTTTCTGTCATACAATATTGATATGGAGGAGCAATACATTGTTAAATATTGGATTAGATCGGTTGGAAGTTAAGTGATGTATACTAATGGGAGTTTGATTCGTTTCAAATTATGACAAGGCTCATTTGTCTCCATATACAAACTGTCAATAGTCCTAAATGCTCCAAACCACAACTGAAGTCCCATATGTTGAATAGTGTCAAGTTCTCTGATATACTATTTACGAATCAGTTGAATCAACCATTATCGTGTTTTGACCTTTTCAAAGTTGTATAGAGATGCAGAAGTCTCCACCCTCCTTGCCATATGATACCACCTTTAAAATACTAAGCGCTTTCAAACATCTATTTCAAGATTTTTAATATTAGATAAAAAGGATAACTTATGATCAAAGATAATACCCCAAAACTTGGTTTCTTTGACCACTTTAATTTGAATATTATTCAAATACTTGATCTTTATGTATTTTCTAAGTGTTGCAAAAGTGAGCATAACAGGGTTTTGTTTGGTTAAACTTCAAACCGTTTTCAAGAGACCATTTCTGTATTTTATAAAGACAAAATTGTAACTGTCTCTCAATGGTGTGCATATTTACACCACAGCATGATATTTTAAAATCATAAACAAATAATGAAACATTTTAAACCTTTAACAGGGCTGTCGATTTTTATGTTTACATTGTCACTGATAAAATACTGCCTTGAGGGACTCTCTTTTTTCTGATCATGTAAATTATTACTGACCTTGGCATATGATGCAAAGCTCCAAAATATCCAAAGAGAATTTCCTTCTGAATTCAGATTATAGAAATAGGTTCATCTGAGTCGTAAATTATTGGCTTTTCCAAATCTTTTAGAAACCATTGATATACCCCGTGTAACAGCTTCTCAATAAACAGAAACATGTCATAATCCATTAGTAACAACAGATGGATTCCAGTGGTTCTGGCTGCAGTCCATATCCATCAACTCAAGGCGGATGTGGTGATGGAATAGGCTGGGGCATATATGGCGCTTGTGGTCTAGGAGGCGCGTGCTGACTGTAAGAAGGGTGTTGCTGAGGCATAACAGGTGGCATCTGGGACTGGAACGAGCCTGTTGGATGTGATGGTCCATTCCTTTTCCCATAATGTTTGCTGTTCCTCTTTCACGAAGTCTGAGGAATACCTTGAGAGTCTGGTGATGGTTGATGAGTCTGTTGAAGAATGATTTGAGCTGAATGTTGATGTTGCTCCTTCAGGTCAGCTAGCTCTGTCTTGATATCCCACGTCATGGCTTTAAAATCCATCACTTCTTCCTTAATTGAAACAGCAGTAGAAAAGCCAGAGGTAGAGGCCATATTTATGGTAGCTGTCTTCTTTCCTGTGCTGTGACTTTGATCCCGCTTCATGTCGACTCAACTTCCCTCAAACATAGTCGGAGCTCATCAAAGTTGAAGATGCTATCATACTTATGGGCAGCAAGGCTCTTCAGTTCAGGCTTAAGGCCATCCCACATAATTGCTTCGGAGTATTTCATGCTGTTCCTCCCAGTTCAACTGACGTTGAGAGGCTATCTGGTACATAAGGTTCTCCAGCCAGCCGGCAACCCCATGCTGTAACATCTTCCTTGTCTCCTTGGAAAGTACCCTAAAACTGTGACATAAGGGTCTCCTTCCTTCTCAAAGTTCCAAAAGCAGAATGGATTTTGAACAACAGGTCCTCCACTGTGGCAGTGTGTCCAAGCTTCATGGCAACCAGTGCAGCTTCTCCCTTCAAAGCTTTTCTGATAACCTGAAGTATTACATCTAGAGAATGAGTCTTTGAACAACAAGTCATATGGAGTGTCCTTTCCAGTCTTTCCACTAAAGTATGGTATCTTGGGAAAGTGTTGGTATGTTATGCCAGATGTTGAAGGTGGAGCAGCAAGTCCAGGATTAGTGGCTGAGTAGGCGCCTTTGACATCAGGCTCTGTTTTTACAATAGGTCCTCCCTGTTGTGCCATCCATTGAATCCATGCTTTAAAGTCATCTGCTCATCTTTGTAAATATAATCAGCAAACTTTCCATCTCCTCTTCTTCGAGATTCCTGATGAAAGAGTATGATGCAGTCAATAGAAAGGATTACCAAAATTCAAATGAAGATCACAAAAGCATGTGAAGAAGATGTGCAACGGCTATGAAAAATTACAGAAATTGTGAAAATGGCTTGCAACAATATTTCCTAGAAAAAAGAAGAAGACGAAGAACCTCTGTAAAAAAAGTAGATACTAATATGCTTCATAATGAAGTAAAGTACCTAAGATAACTAATACTAGGTGTGAATATAAGACCCACAAGACAACACGAAGGAATAGATCAAGGCATGCTGTTATGTGAATGTGAAAAAAGGTGCAGATTGGGAAAAGTTTTCAACTGGGTCAGTCTTTGGCAAGGCAGTCAGAAAAAAACAACAAAAACACAAATTCTTACCCGATTATTATTATTTAATACCTATCCAAGTTTATTTGCATAAGGGTAGAAAGGTGAAAGAAGCAAATAGAGCTAATTTATAATAAAATATGATAGTTTCAATACAGTAACTAAACAGCTAATCAAAACGTCTAACTAAATACTAACTAAACCAATTAAGTAAACCAAGTCTACGTAAGGTAGGCAAATATATCAAACTTTATTGAAACTAACAAAACAGTTAATCCAAAAGTCACTTCACTAAACTAAACTAAACTAAACTAAACTAAACTAAACTAAACTAAACTAAACTAAACTAAACTAAACTAAACTAAACTAAACTAAACTAAACTAAACTAAACTAAACATGCCGTAAGCAAATATACACAATACCAAAGTGTACAAACTTCGTTATCACCGAAAAATGTTTTAACAAGTTGTGAAATGCTACATAACAAGGTTTACTGGCCAGATAAATATCTATAATTACAAATGTAGAGAAAGGTTGAATGTAATTACAATTACGAAACCTTACACAGATGCAGATAATTGTAATACAGTACTGAAAAACTAAAGCCGGCAAAGACAAATAGATACTATGAAGTAACATATATTACATGATTGATTGCAAAGGGAAGTAATTTACAAAATATCAGATGTGAGAAATCTGATATGTGTACGGGAATAACGTACAAGTTACATTTACTATATAGGAAACAAAATACACAACGTCATATCCACAAATGTCAATCCAGTCAATGTCAGTCACAGATACCGTGAAAGTGTATGGAAACACACGGCTTGGCAGATTACATGGCTTGGCAGATCACAGCACATGTGCATGTACACAGGGGAGCGGAAGGGGAGCGGTCTACCCCACGAAGATTCTGGCTGACATTTCTAAAGCAAAAGACCTCACTGATGGCAAAATGCAAGGTCCAACACAGGCTACGGGTGTGATTCTTTATTGCCTTAATAGATAATGACACCATGTAATGTACAAGACAATAAAATTATAAAAACAGTAGTGTACAGGTTTCATACCCATATTAATACAATACAAAGCGACCGTTCATAATGTACATGAAGCTGAACTTGATAATCATATGATATTTAAAATCATTATCTTAACCCTAAAGTAAACAAACAATTCATCAAGGGCGATAACTCGATCCCGCCATTACTTATAAGATACAATATATATATATATATATATATATATATATATATATATATATATATATATGGTCCATGGTTCTAAAATACGATGAACATTACTAATACAATTACCACTTTGTTGAAACTACTATATTAATTCATTAACTGATCATCATACATTTTGCATGATACAATATTAACAATATATATTTTGAGACATGACAGACATGTAAATTATCCGTACCCGGTGGGTGACACCGCATTGACCAGTTATTTTAGTCAACACTAGAGGTTTTCAAGTATGGCATTCATAGGGTCAAGTTCTGGATAACCATGTATTTTCGCAGTTCAGTCAACATCAAACTAATTTGTAAAACATGAACACATTCCCTAAGCCATACATATTTTTTATGTTTCTACTGTGAAAGCATGTTGATTCATTTTTATGTTTCTACTGTGAAAGCATGTTTATTCAAGTACAAAGCCTTAACAATACAACATTTTTTTGTGACAAGACATAGATTCTAGTAAGTTTTTCCCTCTTTGTCTGTGAAATTTGACGGATATTTTATGTTGTCTTAATATCATCCTTATATGATATTTCTGTATATGCATGCACTTCTGGATTTTTCATGAAATGCTTCTCACCGGGAAAGAGCTTGAATACTGCTGATATGTCTCAAAGCAATGTGTACTCATTCATTAGTTTTGTTCATAGCATGAAGGTGGAAAGTTTTTAATTCTTTCTCAAGTTTGATCATTTTCTCATAGTTGACGAGTAAACTTTCTGTGGATAGAGATGGGATACATTTCTAAAATCTCTAATCAATTTTAATCACTCACCTTTTGCCATATTTTAGATGTTTGTAACACTAGCAATGTACCATATTTTGCAGCTCAGTTCTCAGACCTCCCTAGGGATGAAATTGAGGAAATTGATTCCATTCGGAGAGAACACATTTTTCGTGAGTAGCAGTAATTTTGCACTATTGCACGATAAATTGTATTATTATCTTCATTGGTCTATGATATACACTTAACAAAAAGTAAGGGACCATAAAATATAAATGTTAATACCAAGTATTAGAACAAGGACAAGTGTTTGGCGACAAACATCCTATGCAATAACGTTTATGTCTGTAATTCCTTGCTCCAAAACACATCCTATCGTTTGCACCCGCCACACACAGTAGTGTCACACACATGCACAGGGTGTCATTCCTGATTTCGATACTTCCAGGAAGGTAGCTAAGTCAATCTTTGTTGACCATCATTTCTGTCAATCTTATTGATTCAGCATAACATACAGTTGTGATTTTCACGATTTCATTCATTGTTTGTGTTTGAACTAGCGAAGGAGCGTCTGCAATGCAAGGATCTTCTACGGGCTTTTAGCATTCTGGAAACAGTCAGTGTGCAGTGGCAAATACGTTCATTGTTACACAGTCTCTTAGGGCGTTCCAGGTCAACAAAAGTAGAACATGGTCAAAATGTTATTGCTGCAAACTTTCATCCGACTACATACTCCATTTTGGAAAACAACATCTGGGGTAATCGTCGAGGGTGAAAGGTCATGTTCTTAGATGAGTCTGATTCATTGTGCACCTCCTTGATAGGAGGTTGTGGGGCAATCTGACGTTAAATCTCTGGTGCGTTCCTTGTGTTGTCGAAGGGTCACTGGACAGTTCTGTCAGGGCAACATACTGTCACCCTTCGTCGTCCCGTTTGCAAGGCGTGTAGGTTGCCTTTCAGGACAACATTGCCCATGCTAACAATACAGTAAATCGTCAATGTTGAACTCCAGTAGTAGCACAATAACCATAGGCTGCTAAGTCCTACAATGACCCTAAGATCTTTCCCCATTAAACACGTCTGGGACCTGATGGGGAGGTGTGTGCGTCAACGTTATACACCGCCTACCACGGAGGCTGCAAGAGTGGAACAGACTCGCTCAAATTGCAATTCGAAAACTCACACACAGTAATCTTCATCGAGTGAATGAACTTTTGACAGATTGTGGCGGCGTTACGCACTACTGATCCAAAAATGTCAAGGTTTCCTATCTTATCCCTATTGTCCGTTGGCGGTCTAAACATCTGCCGTCCTATGCCACCGCCAGTTGTAATGTGTTCGCAATTCGTTCATTATTATCATAGAACTATTACAGGAAATTAATATCTCTGGCAATTTGGAAAGCTATTGTCGGATCTTGATATCATCATTTATCATTTAACTAAAGCATTTATCAATGACATAAACTTATGTCATGAAACATGTGTGTCATACCCCAATGAAATAAGTATGCTAATACGACATACAAATTAGAAAACCGGAAGTGGGAACAGGTGTTTAAAAACAACATGGAAACCTTTGATGTTGGAGACAATGTTTTAATAGATCAAAGGGGGAGTGATACAGCGATATCAGTGTTTTCAAATGTATATTACAGGTTACAGGTTGATGGTAACGAATTTGAATTTGACTGTGATGAAGGTAGTTTATCTAGAATCCCCTGTGACCAACGTTTCGTCATCGTAACACCATCGTTGAGCATGGTGAAGCAAACGACGAGCACAAAGCATAAAGATACCTAAGGTAGATTTGTGGCGCTTGAGGACGGCATGATCGATGGCTAAAATTAAATTCGCCAAATGCATAAAATACCCCCACACGAATTAGACACTCTTCTATCAAAGTTTGTCATTAGCGTTCGAAAAACAAATGGGGAAAGTTATGAATTAAACAGTCTCACAGGGTTTCAGAGCAGCATCGAGAGATCACTAAAACGAATAGGGTATGGCTTTTCCTTCACGTCATCCTTAGAATTTTCACGTTCACGGGAGATATTAAGGGGGAGGATAATTGAAAGTAGGGCGTGGCAACTCCCCAGAAGAGCCGACCCGATTGGTGATGAATAGATCGAGTCCTTCTGGCAGTCAGGATCCATTTGAATCTATTAGCCAATGCACTTAATAAACTGTCTATGGCTATACAACACAATCCATTTCATGCTAAGAGGTGTCAATGATCAATACAACGTGTTGCGAGGACCTTGCATGTTAATTGAGATGATCAAGAATATCTCGAACTGTCCATGTGACAAGAAGGAATAGAACTTTCTATGGAACAACATGTAAGCCATGTCTGCAAGTCCTGCTTCTTTCATCTCTGCAACATGGGAAAGCGTTCGACATAAACTCACAAAAGAATCTGCACACACTTTTGCTGGATCTTTAGTCATATCTCGGCTTAACTATTGCGACAGTCTCATGAGTAACATCACAAATGATCAACTCCACAGGCTCCAACGTGTACAAAATACAACGGCAAATGAACTGAGATGACGATCCCTTTTACATTGGCGTACACACTTTAGGCATGCTTAAACCTGGCGATCAGTGGTTTATCTGCTATCGCATTGGGAAAAACAAACTTTCCTCTCGATGTGCGATGCCTCCTGTCTCCAACACATTGAAACGGCTCACTAATTAAACTGCGGGTAAACACCTTGTGCAAAAGTTGAATGACAATAATGTTCCGACAAATCAAATAATGCAGATAACTGGTCAATAGTGACACCGACTCAAGCATCCTCTGACCTTCTTCAAGTGAGAGCGCAGTTTGATTCGAAAGTTTAGTATCAGTGACATTATACCAGATATATAATCAAATCACACAGAATCGTTGTTGTCATCGTTATTAAAGTGTTAATTATTCTGCAGTCCTCCGTTCAAGTATCATGTTTAAAAGAATGCGAGAGACATTGTTTCAGCGAAAGATTATGTCATAAAGGAGTTAACAGGTTGTTTAGTTTGATTCTTAGTAACGTCACACGGCAATGAAAAACATTTATCACTACGCACTATTTCTGATGTTTATTTCAGTAATGTGAAAATGATACATAGAATTCATCACTCGTGTGTTTTAATATGGGAAATACTCGGGATGAATCCTCAATTTATGTGCTGGTTTATTTATCAACTGGTTCTCGACGTGAACACTTGATATGGCAGAAAGCAATATTTATTCATTGATTCATTGGTAAAATAATGAAATCATCTGTCTCTCTCCCCCCTTCTGTCTTCTTCTCTTTGCCCTGACATGGCCTTGGTCAAACTAAGGAAATCAGAACAAAATCGAATACAGTGTCAGCATAAACTACACTAACTATATCTGACACAACTCAACTAATTTATCTGCAAGAATATAATCAATTAAGTTACCAGCGCCGCTGTCACTGGATCTTGATATTAACCAACTAGACTACCTCGTGAATGTTTACAGTGGAATCAAAGACCAGCTGAAACCCCAAGATACACCTTGGATGCTTTGTCAGGTAAGTAGTAAGGGCTTCTATTCAAATGTAGATTTACGGACCACCAGAATGGTCATTTGTAGCTCCTTGTGATGAGATGATAACAGCGTATTACCTTGTTGTGTGTATCATACTAATTTAACGAAACTCGTGTCTGAATCAAGGCAGTGTTGACACTCACGCTCATAATCTCTATTTGCAACAAGTATATACATGTAAACAGTTTGTGAAAGCTACTCAACAGAACGACACTTATATTTATTATGGACATACATCTGCATCATCTTCTATGAACTTCATGTCTTTTAACTGGTCCACTGAGCTTTGCCTCCCTTTAAGAAGCACCAAGTCGATCGTATAAGTTGCCATGCAACATGCAGAGGCTAGTCAAGTGTTCACATGAACAAACACAGAAATACATGGCACCAGTCAAATGAGGGAATTGCATCGGACATAATTTGTGTCACTGATGCGTCAAATATGGAAATGACCTCCACGTATCTACCATAGGACATTTTTTATATTTGACATAACACTTTCTTAGTAGAGTACATCGGGGATTCGAACCCACACTGCAAGAGTGAGGCACCTAATCGCCAGCACACAAAGTAAGCCAATTTACACTTGTCAGAGGGGTACACGCAGAACGTGATCTAGAATACCAATTGTCGGACTTTCATTTTGTGGAAGCCTCGGTAGCTGAGTTGGTCAGATCGCTGACTTTGTGTGGGGATTAGGTGCCTCACTCTGGCTGTGTGGGTTCGAATCCCGGATGAGACTCAACTAAAAAAGGTACGAGGATCTGTACAGTTGACCACTTTCTAAATGGCATTGTGTGTTCATAGCTTTCGGCTAAGGGAGTGGTGCCAATTTACACTTGTCAGAGGGGTACGTCATCTACGTGATCGGATTACCAGTTTTCGGACTTTAATTTTGTGGAAGCCTCGGTGGCTGAGTGGGTTAGAACGTAACTTTGTGGACTGATGATTAGGAATCCCAGATGAATTTCACTTTTTAGAACGAGAATCTGTACTTTACTAAGAAAGTGTCATCTAAAACATAACATGTGTTACGGTTGACCACTTTCTTAAAAGCATTGTTTGTTCTTAAACAATATACAGCTATAAAACTGTATAGCTTTTTCAGTTTTAACTTTAGTCGTTCAGACAAATAAGAGTTACCGCTCACTGGTTCCGGGAACAGTGTTCCTCTAAGCAACGAACCACGTTGACCCTTACTTCGCCAAGACAGGTGTTGGTATCAGTTGGTAAAACCTCCTGTTTACCGGAAACATATCATTCAAACACTGACAAATTTGATATAAAATGTCATACTTCAATTTCTGTTCACCTCCTGATGCTAATGACAGTGGAGGTTCTTCACTCTTTAGCCCCAATCATCTTACTAACCCTCTTCAAGCTGTTGCATTCTGTGTTTTCTGATCTTCAGGTGCTCTATAATCAACTCCCCAAAGCCTGTATAAATATTGGTGATTTAATTTGGCATAATTGACGTTGAAGTAGTCTACACACAACCAGTAAGGGGAAGCTTTTAGAAAATTAATTTCTAACAATAACCCATGTATATATGATGGTGGTTCAAAACATATGTACATCCCCGTACTGGTACAGATGACAGTTTCAGATTTACTATTGAATGCGATTGGTTCATCCACGAAGACCTCCGCGGAGTGAGCACTTTCCCATCTTTTCTAAAAACCTGTGACACCTTCAGATAGAACTTTACTGAGGCTAACAGGCTTTGCAGAAAATACTTTGCAAAATATTTTAACAACTTGATCTGTTTTTTGACATTAGAGACCCTAAACAATTCCACTGAGTCAAACTAGAGTGAGTGAGTGAATGAATTAGTGGAACACCAGAAATTGGCCTTACACATTGTACTCTTGGGGATTCGAACCCGGGTCTTCGGCTTGACGAGCGAACGCTTTAACCACGAGGCTACCCCACCACCCGAGTCAAACTAGAAACTTTACAATCTTAAATTTTAATTTCAGCTAAACTATCTTAGGTAGAAGGTGTTTCCATTAATAAATACGGTAATAACAATTGTAAAATCAATTCTGCGTTTAGCAGATATATCTTATGAATATGGAAAGGGTTTGTCGCGTTTATAAACATATCTTGTCATGCTACAAATATGCATACATTAGAGAGGCAGTTATTACTATGTCTCAATAAAATTCACAAATGGTCCTAAACGGGTTCATATTTTCAAAATAAAAAACAATTGTATATATTTATTTGGTAATAAGAAAACACTTAGGAATAAGATCCAAACCCTCCATTTCCTCTGCCAACATCAATCTGTCCTACTAAACTTATTGTAGCTGGCACAGCCAGAGGTAGACCTGACAATAATTAAACTAAAGAAATTGTGACACAAAATATGTCCATATTTAACACATTTACATCGATATTTTCAGAATCATTGGTAGTGACTAGTGAATTATAGTTTGAAGTCAATTCAAGTTTCGTGCCGTGGTTAAAGCATAGGATGTTTTCCGAGGCTGACAAAATGGGCGTTGCTTAAACTGGAGTCGTTGTATGAACATTATATATAATTGCAGTTTGTTTTTGCGCATATGGATTCTTCTTCTGTTAAAGTTAAAAGTAGAGAATATGCAAATGCAAATCCCTATTTTGACTCGTACCATATGCAAATGCAAATCCCTATTTTGACTTGTACCATATGTTGCCGTGATTTTTCATGTGAACACTTGACTTGTCTTTGCATGTGTTTGCCATGGGGCCACCAATGGGGCAGGACACCCTCCCCCTTTCGCGAATAGTGAAACATGCATTTATGATATGTTTGAAATCGTATGCTGGACTCCGCTTTTAGTCGATGTTTCTTAAGGTTCTAAATATGTTTTTCGTCTTTATTTACAAACCTAAATGTGTTATTAGATAGATGTACATGTCATTGATAAATTTGTAACATGTATCAATATCATTATTAACGTGGGTCCGCAACCTGAAAGTGTGCGTCCTTCAACAGAACATAGCCATTGCAGTTGTACAGGTAATAAAGGACGCATGTGACTCATAATAGATAATATAAACTAACTATCTGTTAACATGATATCCCCAATGAATTTCCGAAAACTAATCATACATCACAAATCAAGTTCCAAGGTAAGTGAAAGTGTAACCTGCAAAGCGAAATTTCCTGTTGGTTTCCGAACATCACAATAGTGTTAACACGTTAACACGTAATATTACGTTAACACAACAATTTGGATAGAGTGAATCATTGTCATCATGTGTCGTTCCTTTTTTTGTCAGTTGTTTCCGTACATGCACGTTCTACTCAAACAACGCTTTTTGAATGTCTGTAAATAAGCCTTATGACCAATTGCTACCAATTTGCAGAAGCACTAACTTCAGGTAAGACGCTGGCGGACAACCTTGAAGAAGAAACTGTGCAGCGGATGCGGAAGATTCTGGAAGACATCAATACAAACGTCGATAAAAAAATGATAGAAATTATTCCAATTCTCCAGCAATACATGGATCATATAATGGGGAGCCCAAAGAAACCACAAAAAGGTAGTGTATATACAAATTATTAGAGTGTATAATATGTAATATAATGCTCAGTGTTTGCCAAGGATTACCACTTTAAAAGGTAATACATAAAATTGTGTGCATATGTTGCAATAGCCAGAGACAATATTTTGTGAAGACATGCTTAATAAACAAAAAGTATGTTGTCATTGTACTGCCGAGTTCCTGTAGATCTGCCGATAGGCCAGGACGTCGTGCGGGGGCGAGCTGCAGCTCGTTCCGCATATGTTCGAAAAGGTTGAGGTCTGGTGACCGGGTTGGTCACCCCATGACGACAATAGTCTCCAGCTCTAAGGAGGCATCAACGACCCTGGCACGATGAGGTCGTGCGTTATCGTCCAGGAGGATGAAGTCTGGTCCGACTGCACGGCATACGGTCTCACGTACACATCCAGAATGTCATCCCCGTAGAGCACACCTGACATCGTTGCCGCTGTGGGACATGGATATCAGCTTTTCTATCTCCACTAATAACACCGACCCATGAAGATCCGGGGTAGAATAGGTCTTCAGCGACCCATGCTTGCCGTAAAAGGCAACTATGCTTGTCGTAAGAGGCGACTAACTGGATCTGGTGGTCAGGCTCGCTGACTTGGTTGATGCATGTCTTCGATCTCACTTGCGTGGATAGATGCTCATGATGTCAATCACTGGATTGTCTGGTCCAGACTCGATTATTTTACAAACCGCCGTCATATGGCTGGAATATTGCTGAGTGCGGCGTCAAACAACAAACAAACAAAACTAATCCCGCCCAAATCATGATTGAGCCCCCTCCATGTTTGGCTTCGTTGGAACCCTAAAATGTTCTCCTTGTCTACGCAATCTCTGGCACTTTTATTACTTGCCCGTGAAGAGATCAACCGTTTAGAAAACATACAGCTGTATTACACATTGTGTAATACAAAAAAGCGTGCTTATGTACTCTCGGAAAACGTTTCACGAACAAATATTTAAAGCTCTCAACATCCCTTGGCTTATTCAACGGCATTGCGTTTGGAGATGATAGATCACTGAGGAGAGCTTATGCACACTCGATGACCCCAGCAACCTTGTTGCTAGGCTGACCTAACATGGCATTGTTTTGCCGATGGATCTTGCAACAAAATTCCACAAATTACGTCATCGGGTATTGTGACTTGGTTGTAAACTTTGAGGTGCAAGGCCCCGTTTCACAAGGCGATCGTATTGTAGCGCAACGACAGTCGTTTCTAAGTTAAAGTATGTGAGTTGCGATAACCTTAGCGCTACGATAATTTTGTGGAACGGACGCCTGAATTCTAAATGTGGACTGTTGTATGGTTTTAAATTCCTACGTTTCAACTTTTGACGTGTTTGAAGTATTATTCTGTGAAACTCAATTGGATTATGCCGTGGATCGTGTAGGTGTCAGCCTATTCACACTCAACAGTGTAATTCTAAAAACGTTATAAATGGTAAGTAATAAATCAAATACTTAACTCGCTCCCGTGTAAAACCAATTTTTATGAAACTCATGAATAGTTAGGATACCAGAACTATTCACTCGTTTCATAAAATTGGTATTACACGGGAGCTCGTTTAGCATTCTATATATCTGAGAAGTCTGGACAGTATCTCGATTTCATCTGTGCAACGTACTGGACATTTCAATTTTTATGTTTTGTTTTATCCTCAGCAAACATTGAGTAGTATAAGAAATGACAGTAAATATTCTATTTTCATAAGATGCTGCAATTTTAATATTTAGTTAATATTTAGGCAGATAAACGTAAGTAAACGAATTACAAACGACACTCAGTTCAGAAACGAGACGACGATAACAGGGTCCTAGACATACAAATAGTCGCCTGCGGTGTATTATAAACCACTAGCCAAACATGGCTCACGTAAATCTTTCATGTGTAGTTCCCAGTGAAGACGTGGGGTAGATTGGGGCTTTGTTGTTCGAGGCGATTAAATTGGCCAACCCATTTCCAGCGAAACTGCGTCTGGTTGTTGAGGGCGCTGGAGCAAGAAACTGTGTACATCAACCGGTGGTTGAAGTAGTGATATAAATCATGTTTTATGATCACACTTTGGTTGCTAGTGGTTTATATTTTAATAAGTAAAATCTAAAAGTGTTGATATCAAACGCGTTTAAATTAGTGTGTTTTATAACTGCGCATGCGCATGCGTGAACTGTAATGGTCGCAGTTGCAACGTTCTTCAAAACAAATGATATTCTAAAGACTACAAGAATGTCCACAATGCAAAAACGTGTCCAGTATGGATATCTCAAGGTACTGATTTGATTTATGAAATCACTTTTCTCATAACAGTTCCTACTTTATTGGAAATAACTTAAAACTTTCTATATCATTACAATGTGCTGCGTGTTTGAGGCTGATTAGAGCTCACGTACCAGCCGTGCTCGGAGGCTTCTACCTTGATTGGTTAACAATGACCGATGTTGAGGAAACATTCTACAACACCCAGCCAAGCGACAGTCAGCATATAGCCAGCTATGACGATGTCAAGCGTAAGCTGGGACACAAAGACAAAGAGTCTTTCCAACAATCTTTGATTGAGATATACAAGAGTGACCCACGTGAGCTAAATCACATACGTGAAAGTATTTACGACCATGCAAGGTATACATGCGATGATTTTCCACCTGGGAAATTGGTATCCCGTAGAGCCAAGAACAATGATAAGCAGGCTGTTCTCAACAAATACTCACAGGATATATACTACATATTTCACTATGTGGAAGGTGGCATACCGGATCATGTATTGCAAGCAAAGGTACTCAGCCGAGCAAGCATTAAATCCATGGGAAACCAGTCTATGTGTACGCCTAATAAAGAGGATGACGATACAACTGAGCACACTGCAGCTGACGTCATACCACTCGAGGAGAGTGACTCAATATCTACAATTCTCAGCCATGTTATACAGATAAAACAGTGCATTGCTCGTGGAAATGATATGGCTGAAAACAAATTAGCACAATTGGAAAACAAATTCACCCGCGAAATGAACTTACTCAGGGAGGCTATCTGTGAAAAGGACAAACTTGTCAATGAAGTTTTATTAATAAATAACAAACTGAGCGACTCTGAAGACAGGCGCACGGAGCTGAGGGCACAGCTAAAGTTGTGCAACCAACAAAACAAATCATATCGTGATCATATCATTGAACTGGAAAATGAAATGCTCCGGTTGAACTACTCAGCTGACTCCAAACTCAAAGTCATCGAAAACAAGATTACCACTATATCTAACAAGCATAAATCTAATGGTGAAAATAAAATTAACGTGACAGTAGCTCATGTCGTCGAATCACATAAAACAGATGGACCATCTACCACAACTAAGTCTCCAACAGCATCGATGTCAAATACACCTGATATTAACACGGATGAAGACAGATCAGCGCAAGGCAGGCCAAAGCCATGTGTTCACTCAGACACCCAGCGTCGTGAACGTGAGACAACACCTACCCAAGATAACATCGCTACGGGCAAGGATAAATCAGCACACGATTACCTTGATCTAACTGAACGGAACTACGACTATGACGTCACCTACCAGGATGAACATAGTGAAACAGAGCCGTGGCAACAGGTGAGCTCGAGCAAAACCTACCGATCCCCCACTGATAACCACCTCACCAACGAGAAACCGAAATCGTACCCCATCAGATCACTGGCAAAGACGTACCACGCCCTAGAAGGAGTACCGAGAATCCGGACAAAACGACTAGTTCTGTACAACATCAAAGCTGATGAACCATTTGACTCTGTCAAAGATCTGATATACAAGTACGCCCAGAATGTGCGTGTGCGTGTCACCTTTGTCCGACTTATGAAGAAAAATCAACCCTACAACTACCAACACACCTACACTGTGCAAGTGAACATCGACTATGAACACTTCGTTTCTACTAATCCAGATTTTTGGCCTCCAGGTATTAAAACGAGAGAATATGCACCCAAGACCCGGATGACATCTCGTAACGCCGACTCTCATACCCACAGGTAATAAAACATTCATGTGTCACATCCAGTTTAGAAGGGACACTGTGATCGAGGTGGGTGTACTCCTAATGACGCTATCATTATTAACATGGAATGTACGTGGAGTTCTCCACGGTACAGACTATATTCGCCAGACATTGTCTCGACATGTTGATGTTGTGGCCCTACAGGAGCATTGGCTGCCGGCAAATAGAATGTCTAAATTAAATATGTTTCAGGATTTAAATTTGATATCCTCTTATGCTGTTTCTCCGGAAACATGCTGTTTTCGGGGATCAGATGGATTAGCAATCCTAGTTAATAGCAACAGCGAGTGGAAACCTCACACTATCACTGTAAGCACAGACCACGCAATAGCTATCAAACTAACTCGGCGACACTACTGTGATATTTATGTAATGGCATGTCGCCTACCTTCAACTCATGTACTACATTCTGTGTATTGTGACGCCCTCAACGAACTCATAGATATGTATGATGATCTCTGTGAACAGGGTGTTACTTTTATCCTTGGTGATCTTAATGCAGATATTAGACAGATAGACAGATAGATAGACAGATTTATTTGTATAAGGCCATTTGACCCATTGTACAAAATACATTTACATTTTATTTATCTAAGAGTTACCTAATTGATACTTTTGTGTGTGTGTGTGTTGAGAACACGTACATTATAAATTTGGCAAAATTTATCATTGCATCGTTGTTGGATACTTGACAGAGTCTTTCTAAACAAAAATAATTATGATTAACTGTCTTTGGGATATACATTTCCCGCCGACTTGCATTAAGAGGACAGTTGTATATAACATGAAGTTCATCCTCAATTACATGACATAAGACGGCATCCTCCTCAATATTAGCAACACCCCTACGTATAAGTTAAATACAAAGAGTATTCTGTCCACATCTAAATGTGGTTATTAGCCTTCTATATTCACAATGCTTAATATTGGATAAATATTTTTCACAAACGATATTAGACTTATGCAGTTAATAGAATGAGAGGGTCTTGCTGCCTAGAGATGCATGCCAATCTTGAAACGAACAATCTTTAACTCTTTCGCTAAACATATGTACAAATAATTCTGCATTGCCAACGCCTTGTGCAGCCCATACATCCTCAAAATCATAATGACTTAGCAAAAGTCTGATATGCGATGCCCAGTTAGGACGTTTTCTATCAGCAATGGATAATAACATTTTATAACACTGGTATGGGAATCTGTTTGGACTCATTTGCAAAATCTTAAACGAATATTTAATGCATTTCACATGATAAATAGTATGAAGTGGATACCTACCACATTCACCATAGGCTACTGCATTTGCAGTCCTGTAGCCCGTGTGAAGTAAAAATGCAGATATTTGTAAGCACTATCTCTCTGCCCGGGGTAAGTTAGTTAGCACTGCTATATCTGATAGACACCTCCTACACACCATTAGTGAGTTCGCAACCCATTCCCCACGTTATACATGTAGATCCAAGGATAACACCTTAAAGAGTATGATTGACTATATTCTGGTACCCTCTTGGATAAAAGACCATGTTACCGATCTCCATGTTATAGATACATGCCCTTATACGGTGTCAGATCATCTCCCATGTTTATTATCTATGTCATTGAGAGCCTTTGGTCGAAATAATCTCAATATTAACCCCCCTGTTCCAAAATGGAACAAAGCAAGTCAAGATGATAAACTCATGTACCAAAGTGAATTTGGTACATATCTTAACTCCTTTCACGACTGTAATCTGTCTTGTCAGCCTGAAAATGTTGACACATATAGCGACCATATAAGTAAATGCCTTTTACTTGCAAGTTCCAATTGCATCCCTAAAAGTGAATATAAACCTTATCTTAAACCATTCTGGAAACCTGATGGACTAAATGATGCACATTACCGTATGAGGGTTGCTCGACGTGCATGGCTAAATAACGGTAAACCCAGGGATGAAAACTCAGATTCGCGCATCTCTTATAAAACTGAAAAGAGACACTTCAGGCGCCTCTATCGAAAATCGAAAAGGTCCAACAAAAAGAATACCCTAAGGGAGATTGAGAGGTCAGCTGAACTTGATAGAAACTCTTTTCATAAAACTGTTAGAAAACAACGAGGGCGGGTGGCCGAGATACCTATAGTTAACTATAAGGACGAATGTGGTTCTACACCCTCAGCTATTTGCAGATTATGGGGTAAATACTTTTCAGATTTAGCCAAACCCTACCATTCCGAAGGATTTGATGAAGTATTTAAAGAAGATATAACTAGTAAGGTACAGATATTTAAACAAGTACGAGAGAAGCCTGACGAGGAATTGGAAAAAAAAATTACATGTCAAGAGATAAGAGAGGCCGTCAAATCCCTCAGCAGGAATAAATCCCCAGGTCCGGATAAGATTACAAATGAACATATTATCTATGCAGGAGAACATCTTATTTATTCCTTACGTATACTTTTTAATCATATGATGAAACTACAATATGTACCCTATGATTATAGACTTGGTATGGTCATACCAATATATAAGGGGAAGAATGAAAAATCTGACCCTCGAAATTATAGAGGTATTACTCTCACATCATGTCTCTGTAAGCTCTTTGAAAAAATACTGCTCAAACGTATAGAAGACAAACTATGTAGGCTTAACCCAGACTTTCCTGATATGCTACAGTTTGGTTTTAGAAAAGAACATTGAGCTATTATGTCAGTATTTACTTTGATCGAAGGCATTCAGTATTACATACAAAGGGACTCTGCAGTCTATGCAGCTTTCTTAGATAATGAAAAAGCATTCGATAGGATATGGCACGATGGATTATTTTACAAACTACATAAACTGGGCATTAGAGGTAATACATGGACATTACTACATCATTGTTATACAAATAGTTATGCTTATATTTCCTACCAAGATGTATGGTTCATCAAGGTGTTGGCCAAGGCAGAGTTATCTCTGCTTGTTTTTTCTTGTTTTTATAAATGACCTCATTACAGCCCTTAGACAAGCACAATGTGGCATTCGTGCATATGGTATGGATATTCCTGCAGTCTTGCTTGCCGACGATACGACACTTATTAGCTCATCACCGAGAGGCTTACAAACATCCCTTGATATTGTACATACATATGCCTCAAGGGGGCGCCTAACATACAATCCATCAAAAAGTGCAATAATTGTGTTCACCAAAGCAAAACGCAAGGGGTATAACTGTCATTGTAAACTTGGTAATATACACATCACTACAACTGACTCTACGGTGTATGGTGGAATACTTCTAACATACAATCTGTCTTGTAAAACAAGAATTGAAAAGTACTGTCAGAAAGCAAGACAAGATATTAACTCCCTAAGATCTTTAGGATTAAATAGTTATGATCTTCATCCAATTTCAAGCGTGAAAATATGTCTCAGAATGATACTCAAAACCAGCCTTTATGGATGTGAATTACTCTATGACATTAAGGGTCAACATGCCGCTCTGTTGGAAGGCACGCAAAGATATTTTGCACGCATTGTACAGGGTCTTGATAAAAGATCTCCTTCAGAATCTACTATTTCGAACCTTGGACTTTGGACAATTACTGCATATATTGATAAATGCAAACTTTTATTTCTTGGTCGTTTATGCAATCTGAACTGTAATAACTTTGCAAAATATATTTTCTGCGCGTCCATTGCAAGCCCTGTCAATTCAAAGACAATCTGTGGAGAACTTAAATGAACACTTGATAAATACAATCTGGGTCCCTACCTTCGTACGTATACTCAGTATGGTACTTTCCCTCAAAAAATTGAAATGGAGAAATCGTGTTAACAAAACTATATGCACATACGAAGAACAATCATGGCTCACAAATGTATCAAATAACGCAATCATGTCCCGTTATAAGAGAATTCATACGAAATTAACATACCATGTACTTTGGCAATTAGCTTTTCTGTACCCGGAATATCGACCTGCTTTACAACTCTGTGTGAAAGTCTCATCACGCAGTAAACTTTCGAAAGAGTGCATGCTCTGTAATAGGCATGCTTTCGACTATGAAAGCCACATTATTTTACATTGTGAAGCGCTGATATCAGAAAGAAATGCGTTTTTCTCTTCTCTTATTGACGTACTTGACGTTAAAAAATATGTTGATTTTGAAATGCAAGACGAAACAGATATGTTATCAGTCTTATTTTTGGGCTGAAACAAAATTTACTCACAATCTGGATCAACACACCTGGGAAACTATTATACTTCAATTCGCTCGTATCTGTACAACTAAGGCATCTTTTGATATATATCTTCTAGTGAAAATCTGTCATCACTTAGGTATCTGAATTTGATAAACTGTGTGTAATTGTAAATATGTTATGCCTTTTTATTGTGTTTACTGCGTGTAATTGAATATATTTTCATTGTAATCTTCGGAATGACATCTGGAGGAAATAAAGAATCTCTCTCTCTCTCTCTCTCTCTCTCTCTCTCTCTCTCTCTCTCTCTCTCTGGCTGAAATATTGCCGGTTTGATGTACATTTCACTCACGTGAAGACAAGGGAACAAAATAATCAAACATACTTACCTGTTTACATTCATTGACGTAAATGTCAAAGATTTGGTCAAGTCTTGCCATAACAGTACTGTATGCACCGTTGCGATTCGCTGTGCAGAGTTGCGTCCCTTTTGGCACACCAGAAACCTATGGTTGTGAGTTCGAATCCCGGTTGGCCCCGATTATGTTTCTAGGTTTGTCAGCACCATACCTGTGCTCGTGGGTTTCACCGAAGTGGTAAACGTCTGATACCTGCATCACTTCGGGCTTTCCTCCAACACTAAGCTGACACGCCGTGATATAACTGGAATACTGTTAAAAGCGGCGTTAAACCCAACTCACTCACTCACTCATAGCTCCGGCCCCTGTTTCAGAATCTGCTCGAAATCAAGACCAAGCTCCAGGTCCAGGTGCAGCTCTTGTTCCCGCTCCAGCCAAGGCTCAAGCTCAAGCTCAAGCACTAAATCCAGATCCTCCTGTTCCTCCTACAGATCTTGCTCCTTCACCAGATCATGATCACACTCCAATTCAAGATCAATATACAGATCCTGCGTCTTCTCCAGGTTATGATCATGCTCCAACTTATGATCCTCCTACATATCCTGCTCCTTCTCCAGATTGTGATCATGCTCCAACTCATGCTCCTGTTACAGACCCTGCTCCTTCTCCAGATTTTGATCATATCAAGATCCACCTACAGACCCTGCTCCTTCTCAAGATTATGATCATACTCCAACTCATGATCCTGCTATATATCCTGGTCCTTCTCTAGGTTATAATCATACTCCAACACATGATCTTGCTACAGACCCTGCTTCTTCTCCAGGTTTTGATCATCTCCACCTCATGATCCTGCTATATATCCTGGTCCTACTCCAGATTTTGATCATGCTCCAACTCATGCTCCTGCTACAGCTCCTGCTCCTTCTCCAGGTTTGGATCATGCTCCAACTCATGATCCTGCTACAGATCCTGCTTCTTCTCCAGGTTTTGATCATACTCCACCTCATGATCCTGCTATATATCCTGGTCCTTCTCCAGATTGTGATCATGCTCCAACTCATGCTCCTCCCACATATCCTGGTCCTCCAAATTGTGATTATACTCCAACTCATGATCCTGCTACAGACCCTGCTCATGCTCTAAATCTGCCTCCTGCTGTTCCAACAACAATTCATGCCACACAGACAGAGGAACAAACACAAGAACTTCCTCCAGGATCACCATCAGAAAAGAAATCCTCAAAGGACATTGGGACAATTCAGACAGTGTAATTTGGAGGTGTCGTCTCCTTTGGTAACACCTGTGACAGTCTGTATTATGTTTGAACTGCCAGTAATGCCGTCATGCCCAATACATTAGAACCTTTCCAGGCACTCAAGGTGTCCACTGAACCCCTATCAATAGATCCATTAACATCATACAATTAAATTGCAGGAGCAGCTTTAATCAGGTACAATCATTTGCACAGTATTCTAACCCATAAGCATTTGATTAACAAGAAACGTGCCTCGACATATTGATAAATTTGACGTATGATGAAACATGGAACAATGTCATCTTTAGACATCTGCATGAATTTGGTTTGAGAGGCCATTTGCCTTATTTCATATCACAGTTGTTAACAGACAATTTCACGTTCGAGTCAGTGGAACTACCCCAAGGAAAGAGTCACACTCAGTGTGTATGTTGAACTGGAACATAGCTTGCATACATATCTAAAACTAATCTACTGCTGCATGGTGTCATGCTAAATGCTTATGCAGCTTCCATTATTTATAATTAGAAGCAAAATCCAAAATTTCAACAATAAAACTTGCCATTTATCATGCTTTATTTTTAGCTGATTTTGTACTGCATCCAAATTTGATGTGAATATTTGCAAATGAGTGTACTTTGATTCGTACGTTCTGTGCAAAGTGCCTCACGTTTGAACCCAGTGGACTGTCCAGAGAGACATTACCACATGGAGAAGATATTGTGCTGTCAGAGCGGGAACCAGTCGTCATATAATCTGTTTGCTGATGTCCATGTCTGTTTGGTAAACACTTGGCACCGCCATTGGGGATAGGTTATAGGAAATGAACTTTGTATTAAAGATGACTTTTGTGTCGGACTGTGAGCTGGAATATAAAATGCCCTGGTGCTTTGGACTGCACAGCAAGATTGGAAATGTGTGTGTGTACCTGAGTCAAGGTGATATTTAGCCATCTATACATTTATGTTACCATTTTTTTCTCATGTTTGTTTGAAATGTTCTCATAATTATGTGGTAAGTTTGTTCATTTTGAAAGACTGTCCTGGCCTTGCTCCTTGAGGTCACCGGACTTGCTTTGGGTGTTACGTTAATGATAAGAATGTAATGTATTGACTGTATGCAGTATTGAATATGTTTGTGTGCCTTCGTGTAACATTCTGCAAATATACATTCCGTAAGCCACCTGCGGCACACTGTCGCATTTTCGAGTTCATATATCCATATGTAAGTAATAAACGTTGATGCAGGATTGTTGTGCTTTGTTGGTCATTTTTTTAGCTCTTAAGAAATACATGAGAGGGAGGCCACATCAGACAGTCAATGAGTTTCACCACAATGTTTCTCCTTCTGAAAGGGTTTGTAGCCTAGATAGGACATGAACTGGGATTTGTAGGCTGGTCAAGATAATATTATACTCACACAGTCGAACGAAACTTACTAAACTTTATATCACAGGTGGGGGTCTTATTTTAAGAAGAATCACGATGACCTCTTAAGTATCTCTTTCAGAAAAAAACCCGTAGCAATACTTGACGTAGAGTGTTCGTTGGTACCAGGATTATATATATATAAGTACCGGGCAAAAGAAAGTTTTCACCGACTTCACTTGACCAAACACCAAAACAAAGCCATATGTGAGATTTATGATGATTAATTTATAAACAGAAATAATTTTCCATGAAGTAGAATGAAAGTGCATTTTAATGCCGATATTGCATTCTCCGCAATACACAAAGAAAGAGTCAAGGGGTCCAAATTAAAAATTACACAAATCAGATTTCATTGAAAAAGTGCATGAAGAGTCCATAATGACACAGTGGTCAGGTAACACGTCATCAATAGCGAGTGTGACCACCCTGGGCATCCATGCACGCCAACACACGCCGCCTGATAGACGTCGTCAGTCGGCGGATAACGTCAACAGGAATCCTGTTCCATAAGTTCAATAGCGTCTGTTCAAATTCCTGTCGGTTCGCTGAGGGCGTTACATGTTGTCTCAGCTGACGATCAAGATGATCCCAGAGAAGTTCAATGGGGTTCATGTCTGGAGAACAAAGTGGCCAGGGCAATACTTTGACGTTAACGTTATTCAGGTAGTCTTGAACAATTCGGGCGGTGTGAGGCCTTGCATTGTCTTGTTGCAAAGTTAATCCACTTGGCTGATGTTGAATAAAGGGCACCACAACATGTCTCAACACTTCATCCCAGTTTCGCTGAGCATTCAGGTTTCCTCGGAAGAAAACCAGCCATGTTGTTGTCTGGCCACAAATGCCACCCCATACAATGCCTCCACCTTCAAACGGGTGAACTTCTCTAATGCAGTTTGGCGCCAGTCGCTCTCCCCTTTCATCTGTGAAGAGCACTCTCGCCCAGTCACGTCGCTGACACAGACGTACAGTTCATGCCCATTGCAGTCTGCGTTGACGGTGTAGACTGATCAAGGCCATTCCACGGAAGGGTCGGTAGGCTCGTATACCAGCCGTACGAAGTCGTCGAAGGACTGTTCGTCTGCTGATGGCAAGCCCTAGTGCTGTTGCCGCCGTTGACGTCGCCGTCACACATCTGTTTATGAGGTGAATCTGCAGGATGTAGCGGTCTTCGGCCGGTGTTGTCACTCTCGGTCTTCCCAATCTTGGCCGGTCTTGAGTCTGTCCAACTGTTGGTAGCGGATTATCAACTTGCTGATGGTGGTCTGGGAGCAGTTGAAGGTTCTGGCTATCTGAATTTGAGTAGCCCCCATATTGGCCATACCGATCGCTCTGTCTCGTTGCGCTTGTCTGGGCATATTCTTTGTGTTTTTTTGCTTACTGAATGCCTGCTCTGTCCAACGTCCGTATTTATGCCACAATCACGCACGTGCATTCGGACCAATGTCACAAAATCACGTTTCGCACGTCTCCAACAATGCATGATTTGGAAAGCTGCGTTCGAAAATCTGCGTTGTGGTTGTGGTCATGTTGCATTTGTGCGAATGTTTTCTGCAGGGGTTCAAACCTGTACCAGCTTTTTTGCTTTTTATACAACTATTTCTAAAATGAAAACTTTCTTTTGCCCGGTAGTTAATATATATCTATTAAGTATATATTTATACAATCTTGGTACTGATTAGAATGGCTGTATTTCCAATTATACTTGCAAATAAACATACATATCTATCAAACTCAAACCGTAGTGTGCAATATACAATATACGGCACGTGGCGTTAAGGGAATACAACCAGAACTGGTTGGCTCAGAGTTAGTGCACCGTGTCTGTTAAAATACACTGTGTCTGTCAGTACACTGTTTTCATGTCAAAACTTCAGCATGGTATCTCCGTGGGCTAGAGTAGTTGTGTGCAGCGGTACAGTACCGCTCCTGGCTTCTGATTGGTCGAGAGGATCTGTGAACAAGATCGACAGGGTCGTTGTTGTTCTTGTGTTGTTCTAAAAATAGAAATAGAAAAGGCGGTGGTGGTGCAGGGAGGGAGGAGGAGGGAGGGAGGGAGGAAGGAAGGCGGGAAGGGAGTCGGGTTCTTTGTTTTGTTTTGTTTTGTTTTGGTGGGTGGGTGGCGATGGCATGTGGAGATGATAGCTCACTGAGACGAGCTTATCAAACACAGTCGACGACTCTGCCACTTTGTTGCTAGGTTGACGTCATATCGGCGAAGGATCTTGCAACAACATGTCACAAATCATGTCATCGGGTATGGTGATGTGTTTGTCAACTTTGAGGTGTAAGGTTTCGTTCCACAAGGCGATCGTGTATTGTAGCCCACGATGACAGTCGTTCGTCTAAGTTAAAAGTCGGGGAGTGGCGAATTTAAAGGGGCTCAAGGTGTTGGCTGAATTCTAACGGTGAATCGACAGGCACAGACATGAACGTGTTGTAGGTATATGCCTACGTGAAGTACTTCGTGTCACCCCCCATGCAAACGTGGTGCCACGCGTGACGACAAACAGACGTTGACGTTGATCCATAGGATGATTATTATCATTTATTTATTCATGATACCGAGGTTCTGGCACTCGTGTAGGTTGACAGGTGTACTGTCATTCGTGTTGCCAGGCACCCGTAGTGTTTCACGCGTGATGCCAGGCAAAACGTGGTGTCCTCTGTGTGTGTGTGTGTGTGTGTGTGTGTGTGTGTGTGTGTTCAAACAGACGTTGATGTTGATCCATAGGATGAACATTATTATGAATGATGCCGAGGAGTCGGTACTCGTGTAGGTCGACAGGCGTACTGTCATTCGTGTCTCCATGCACACGTCATGTACGTCGTGTGTTGTCATGCAAAACGTCATGTACTTCATGTTGCCATGCAATCGTGATGTCATGCGTGTGTGTCTTCAAACACACGTTGATCCACAGGATTATTGATCCTATTTTGTATTTTATAAGGAGAGAGAGAGACCGATAGACATACGTGGTGTTTGACTCGTGTCTCCAGGCACACGTGGTGTTTCACGCGTCTCTATTTCTATATATTTATTTTATCATTTGGAGACGTACCATGGTGGTGTCACGCGTAGGCGTGTGCCTCCAAGAGGACGAGGGGGTGGGTGTGGGTTCTTTTGGATGGTTGTTGTTTGGGTTGCAAAGCAAGCAGGGTGGGTGTCGATGGCGTGTGGAAATGATAGATCACTGAGACGAGTTTATCAAAGTTATCATACACAGTCAACGACTCTGCCACTCTGTTGCTAGGTTGACACCACATCGGCGAAAGATCTTGCTACAACATGCCACAAATGACGTCATCGACTATGATGATGTGTTTGTCAACTTTGAGATGTTAGGTTTTTGTTCCACAAGGCGGGCGTATTCTAGCACAAGGACAATCGTTCGTTTAAGCAACAGGGGATGAGTGGCGAAAAGGTGCTCAAGGTGTTGTCTGAATTTCTAAAGGTTAATCGACAGGCACAGACATGTAGGAATGCAGGGAGCGATCGAAATGGTGCCTGTTTTGATTGGTCCAACACGCTGCGCGCTGATTGGTCCGTTCCGGCGCCTGACTTTCACCTCGGTTTTCCAAACTGGCCCGGCCCTTGTGTTTCTTGTTCATAGGAAAAGTGATGACCAGAGAGTGTCTATCTTATTTAAGACACTGTCGACCTGTTTCCTGATTGAAGGACAACCCAAGCTTCTGATGGGTAACCATGTTTTATCCTGTTTTTCTCCCTGGGGTGAGCATGCTGATTTCTCCATCCTAAAAAACACAACACAATTCATTTTTTCAACTTTTAGAGTGGTTCGAAAGGGCTCCTGTTTTGATGGCTCCAAAACGCGACACGCCGATGGATCCGTTTCGATGCCTGGACTGAGCCTCAGTTTTTCAAATGGGTCCGACTGTTGTGTTTGTTTTTTTTCATAGGAAAAAATGTATTTTCCATGGGAGAGAAAGCACAACTCGGTTTGGGTGCTGTCTTCTGATTGGTCGGTGCTGTCTTCTGATTGGTCAGATTTTCGACCAATCAGAGACCTTCTATCAATAGATCCTCTTTTCTGTGTATATAAAGGAAGGGCTGACGTTCATCAGACACTCATCGCCACCGTGACGGACACGCAGAGTACACCCTATCATTTGGAGAGGAAAGACATCACCCGCTCCAGACGATTAAGAACCGCTAACCATACCTATCGTTTGACTTTCAACCCAGACTACTTGGACACCGTACCACCGGACTGCGTTCCCATGGAACTGCAAGTTTTATTTGACAGAGTCATCGATGACTTTTATGAACAGATGTCAGGCCAGAAGGGAGATCGTATTGGTCTAGGTATCGATCATCCCGCTTTGAACATCCCCATACGGATTCCCTTTCGTCGCTTTGAAGATCTCCATGGGCTCGATATTTTGCATGCCGTGGAAAAAGTCCAACAGTCCAACAAAGCCCTGAACATCGATGCCACCATGGTTGTGACTTTAGTACACGTCGCAGATCCCGACAGGCTAGGATCGGGCAGTGGCGTTCCCCGGCTGAAAAACGTGATTGGACTCGAAGTTTTTTTATCACGCAAAAGGGGCATTGTACGGATCAACAACCAAGATCAATCCTGTTTGGCACGGGCCCTGGTGGTGGCACAGCATTATGCCCAGAAGCCTCACCCTCTGACCCAAGAATGGAAAACCCAGCGATTGAGACTGAAGAGAACGGATCGCGTCGACGTTCAAGACATACGGGCACGGGACTTGTTTCAGCGTCTTGGCCTGCCTGAAGGCCCCTGTCAGGGCCTGGACGACCTCGCACGCGTGGGACGCGCCTTGACCCGCC